GTCCAGGCTGGCCTGGAACTCACAGAGATCCGCCTGCCTCTGCCTCCTGGTTGCTGGGATTAAAGGCGTGCGCCACCAATGCCCGGCAAGAAATCCCTTTATATCTAGGATTTGCTCAAACAATTCTAGGGCACCAGGCCAATGACCTGGGCTTGAATGGATGTATATACCAAGTGCATGTTGTATCCTGTGGCAGGGTGGCAGGAGAGAGAGCTCTGGTTTGGAAGCTTCGACGTTGATAACAGCCTCCTAAAGAGCCAAGTAGAAAGAGGGATCCGCAGGCAGAGGGAGCTGCATGGACAAAGGCAGAAAAGCTTAGCATGTTCTATAAACTCACATTGTTCCAGAAGCAGAGGGAACATGGGCTTCCGTCTAGCTGCTGGCATGACTCTCCTGAGTTGTCACTGTGATCTCTGTGTCCCCGTTCTAGACCTTCATTCTGTTTCTTCCAGGACCTTCAGGCTTCTTATCACAGCTCTGCAGCCACTGCCTAGCAGCTGGGGCAAATAGGGAATGGAGCACTAAAATGTCTTCAGGGGAAACACCTAACAATCTTAGGGAAACCACTGTCCCAGAGACCACAATGCCTGTTTCCCCTACCTGGGGCATTCTTGTTCACCCTCCTCTACTTTCCCATTGCCACAGCAGCAGGCCCCAGCCTCAGATTTAACACACAGTCTCCTCTGCAGAGGCAAGCTAGTTCACAACTGTACCTTTGTGCAGCTGGTGTGTTTAATGATTGCACGAAAAGAAAATGCCATGTCTCTGCAAATGAGGAGAGCCAAGAGGAGGAAGCCTATAGAGCTGCTGGCTCTGTCATTTACTGAGGCAGGGCATGTTGTTCTGTGTGCTATTTTAAACGTCCAAGGGAGCAGGTGGCTGTACCTAAGAACAGGGCTAAGTGACTGTGTCCTTTACCTACACTAATCGTTCTGCCCTTGGGTTCATTGTTCATATGTGCTTGCTCCCCACATTCCCCACATACCACCTCCCAGTCAACAGCCAGCACCCTTTCCCTCCTCAGATAAGCCGTGTGAACTCTACTGCTCACCCCTCGGAAAGGAGTCCCCGCTGCTGGTGGCTGACAGGGTCCTGGATGGCACACCCTGTGGACCCTACGAGACTGACCTCTGCGTGTATGGCAGATGCCAGGTGACTTGCTTTTCCTACTGTCCTTGGTGGGGCTGTGAAGAAAGATTCCCTCTTCCCTTTGAGGATCAGGGGGAGTAAGTTTTCTCAAAGAGGTCCATGCTGCCCTCTGTAGCCAGTGGCCACCAGCGCAAGTCCTGCCCTCAGGCAGTGACTAAGCATCATGCCTGTGGCAGTCCTAACCAGCAGCCTCCTGAAACTATTCAAAAATTCCTCTAGACACATCATGATTCCTACAAAGAGCTGGTGAGTATGAGATAGTAGTGGAGAATTCTACAAACTTAGTTCTATACTTAGGGGCACTGAGCAAGCACCTGTGCAGACAGTGTCCAGGGAGGTGTACGTGCCTGGCCTCTGGGGAGCCCTCCACCCTCTGGGATGTGGATCCCCAAGTCATGATCTGTTAGGAGATTGACAAATAGCCAAAGCAAGGCAGAAGGGAGAAAGAAGAAAGAAGCACTTTTTTGGCCTCTTGTCAATCTCTGCTCATCCAAAGGAACATCTCCTGGTGTGGTGACTCAAGAAGGGAGGATGGAGATGCTATCGCTTTTCAATGGCCTGTGGGATACAGCTCAGGTGAAGCAGCCTCTGCCTTCAGGGGTCACCTCCTGATGACTCAGCCCAGCCTGAGCGTGTGAAGAGTCCTGGTGACTAACTCTACTCAAGCAGCTGTGGTGAAGTGCATAGGCTGCTTATAAACAATGGAACTATTTCCCATAGTTCTGGAGGCATAGAAGTTCAGGGTCTCAGCATGGGGCACACTTGGCTTCAGTGAGAGTGCACTTCTCATGAATGGTTTCTTGTTGTTCCATCCTCACATGACAGAGGGGGTATAGCTGCTCTCTGAGACCTCTTTTAGAAGATACTAATCCCATCCATGAGGGTTCTGCCTTCAGGGCCTTTGGGAAAAGGTCCAGTTCCTAAAAACATCACCTCGGGCATGATAGGAACTGGGGAGTACACGTTTTCAGTCCTCTATCCCCAGGGAGCCTCCTTCCTCAGTCCTTGTCACCCTGTGTCATCACTGTATCCCTGTCAAGTGAGCCCAGCAACAGCTGTTAGAGACAGACACAGATAGATGCACAATTAGTGTCTCAGATGGCTCCTGCAGAAACATTTGCAACCTTAGTGGGTGTTCTCCCTGCATAGTCCAAGCCAGTCACAGACTGGTTAATTTTCCAAGGAAACATTTAACAAGGCCCTAGCTCATCTGGCATTGCCTGGCTTTGTTATCAAACAGAAATATGCTGAGTGCCCACGCATGTTGGCAAGGACACCTTCCAGGGAAAAGGGCACCAAGGAGTTCTTGAGCAGGACCTTCGGGGATACTGTTATGTGGCAAAGAATGTTCCAGGCCCCGTTCTTGGACAGCATGAAGAAAGCCTTTATCATTATTACTGAAACAAAGCATTGCTGACAGTTCTCAGGAAGCCTGCTAGCAGGCCAAATGTAGGGTTTGTTTCCTTCCCAATTACATGCTTGCCTGGATCATCCTGCAAGTTGGCACATTGCAAACCAATGATGTAATTCTTTTGCTGGCAGCTTTACAAGTCAAAGCTCTTGTACCCTTTAGGGCAGTGCCAGCTGAGCCACCCCAGCCTCTTGCAGGCATCTGCTTCGGTATTCTTGCCAGCAAGAATGTACTTCTAAGAATCCTGAGATTCTCCAGCCAATGAGGCCTATGTTTATTCTGAACACAACTTCAGCTCCCAGTAGTCTATGCCAATGAGCATGTCCCTGAAATTGGATTCAACCTCGGGCTTTTCAGCTGAGAATGTTCCATGTACTGTGACAATGGATCTCTCAGATCCTTGTCCAGATGTGAACCCTGTGTACACCATGGAAAGGAAGGCCCAGAGGTACAGCAGTGGCATGAATATTATGGGAGTAACCAACCACTTTCTGGTTGGATGTAAGCTGTACTCCACAGGAGAAAATACATGCCTGGTACTACAAATCTGGCTATAAACCTGTGGCTAGGAAACTCACAGGTCCCAGGGGTGGACTTGCTAGTATTATTCTGCTAAATGAACAGATTATCAGACTTTCTTCTATATTCATGTTCCTGTGTCCATACATTAGTGTGGTGTTGGGTTCTCATTAGAGGCTGTTCTTTGTGCAGTGGAATATGGTTAATGCAGAAACTCACATCTGATCAAAGGGCAGAAAGTAAGTGTCTGCAGAGTTCTTAGCCACAAATGGGATGTTTTTATTACCCCCTGAAGGATCAGCAAGTATTGCAGAAAGATTATAAGAGTCAAATATTGGGGAGGATTGTTGTAAAAACAGTGTCTTCTGGACACGACAGGACCACTGCACTCAAACTGGAGCAGCTGTGGTTGTACACTTAAGACCTGCATAAGATCAAGCCCATGCACATTATAGCATGGAGGTAGGAGAGATTCATGAGGCCCCCACACCTAACTGAGGAGCTATTAACCATCAATGGTTTCTGGGGGATGGAGAATCACTTTTCTCTAAGGATGTGGTCATGCTCCAATGGATGCCACCACACCCATGAACATATAGACAGCAAAAATTTGACTCCATGGGGTACTTTTTCAAGGGAAAAAAGGGGATGGAAAGTTGGAAGGAAATAGGGATGTAGGGGTGGGTCTGGGAGGAGTGAGGGTAAGTATGAACAAAATGTATTATATGAAATACCTTGAGAATTAATAAAAATATATTTTAAACTCCAAGATAATCCCAAAGTAAAACAACCAAAAAACATAAAGAGCTGGTGAATGTAAAGGAGAAAATGAAATACTGCCCTAGAAAAAGCCAGTGAGAGGGGCCTGACTGAGAAGACTGAGGAGGACTGAACAGGGTGACTATCTTCTCTCTGGAGAAGATGGGAAGTTTGGGAGAATCCTGGTAGAACTAAGGACTGAGCTCTCCCAGCAGAAGCAGGAAGAATGAGGCGGCCTCAATCTAGACATGAAAACACAGGGTAGGGGAATGTGAGAAACAGGTCTAACCCAGGGAATCAGACCCAGGGAGAATTTAGGTTTACTCAAAGTGTGATAGGGACACTGAGGAGAAGAGCAAAGTGATCTCTGACCCTGAAATTGGTTGTGGTAGAGCCTGAGTAGAAGAGACTTACAGAAGCTCATCTTGCTGAGAGGAGCTGGGGAGCTTGTAAGACCTACTAGGAGGTGATTAGATTCTGGGTGCATTTGGAGAAGGAAGGTGTGTTCAACTTTAGCAATGCTGTGACCAAATACCTGAAAAATCTACCGCAGAAGAGGAAGTATTTACCTAAGCTCGGTTTCTGAGGCTTCAGTCCACTGTGGCAAACAAAAGCTGGGCAGAGCAGAGCATTTCATGCCAGTTCACACCAGTGTCTAGAGAATGTCTGGGCCAGACTTTTTTTTCTTTTTCCTCTGCCTTGGGATGCCTTGGGTCTCCCCCCCTTAGTTATTCCTCCCTGGTACACCCCCAGAAATAAACCCATAGGCTTGATTTACTAGTATCCTAGACACTTTTTTGTGCTAATCAAGGGTGACAGTCATTGGGGAAGAGAAGCTGAGATGGTCTGTAAGAGACTCCAGAATCCCCGGATCTTGCCATGTTTGAAGGGTTCTGGAACCAATCCTCAGTGATACAGAGAGACAAGCACATACAAACAGGAGATAGTGAGGGCGGTACACTGTGACAAATTCTACAAAGAAGGTCAAAGAGGAGGAGGACTAGGCCTTGGCCATAGGAGGCTTTTGCTGATGGCGATAGTGCAAAATTTGTAAGCATGGAATCCAGGATTCTAATCAGTAGAGACCAATACTTACCATTTCTAGGTAAAATACGGCCCCACACACATGGCCTGCCATGGCCCCCTGAAGCACATGGCTCTGAACTAGATCTCTTTTGCCTTAAATCTGCATGCCACAGGCACTGTCTTGACTAGAGAGAACCTATGCTTAGCTTTCCAGTTCCTTGCCATCTTGTGCTTTCAATTATACCACAAGGCACTCCTGTCCTTAGTTGTCACACACCCTCACTTCTCCAGCAGAACAGCCCCCTGACCAGCACATGCTGGCCAGGAGTTTGAGAGCTCAACAATGGTGCCCTGAAGATTATTTAAGGGCAAAGTAATGAGAAAACTGGAAAGGATGACCCAGGATTGTCAGGATGCTGTGGGAAGGCTTTGGAGCATTTACTGTTTGGAGGGTCCTTGGGTTTAGTCATCTTGGGCTCATAAGTGCAGTCATTAAAACTCCACCAACATTCAGAAGTCATGGCTTCAAATTGTGCTTTCTGGTAGCTTCCCTTTCAAAAGAAAACTGTCTGCCCCTGCCAAATATATTATAGACTACTTCCACTGACTTGAGCAAAGAGAGAAAATGCCCTAGTGGCCAAGTACTTTGGCTGTTGCCCTTTGGGCATCAGATTTGCTACTGTCCTAACATGGATATCCTTGCAGGCCTGGAATCCAAATGCAAGAGGTGAAAAACATTGCACCAGGCAGCATGGACACAATGTGAAGGCCTGCCCCAGCCCTAGAAACTGACAGATAACCTAAGGGGCCATCTAACTTGTATCTGTTCACTACTGATGTGCAAACCTCCCTTCATTGCCATTGGGACAAGCTATGGTGACCACATGGGGTGTTTACATAGACAATCTGAGCTGCTTAATCAGGAAACCCAGTGAATTGCAATGCAAGCAGCCAGCAGTGAAGCCAGAGACCTTCTGTGACCGAATGGGAGTGGTTTAGAAATCATAGGGACCCGGTGGAAGAAATAGGGCAGCCAAAAGGAAGCAGATCCAGGTAATAGAGAGAGGCTGGGGTGGGAAGCCAGTCCTGGTGCTGGCTTGTGGCTGTGCCACCAATAACCTGGATATAGTAACAGACACAGAAGTGGCATGCAGACTCTCACATATAATTTTAGCAATGAGGAATTGGCTGAGCTTCCTGCTCTGAGCAAACCCTATGATCTGGGATGCTCCATCTCTTGGACCTTTGTCAGGTTACACTGAGCAACTTCACAGAATAAGAAGTAAGGCAGCAGCATGGTGTGACCACACCCTACTACCTGAATTACCACACTGATGTTTCTGCTGTGATAAAGTAAAGTTGAGTAGTCCTAACTTCTCAGGCACACATAGATGATATTTCTATAGATGCTTTATGGTTGCAGGGCTCCTTTATTCCATAATGCATGTTTTAAAACATATTTGATAAAAAGATAAAAAGGCAAACATCTGATCTGAATTCTGGTGGTTGTTGGGTTTGTTTTTTGTTTTTCTCTTCTGAATTTAATGACAATTAAAATTCCTCTCAGCTAAATCAGTCCCACAAAGTCCAGCAGGTCATCCGCTTCAAAATAGCACTGAATCTTAAAACACAGGTGAACCTAGCTCTTTGGTTTTCTAGAAAATTGGCTGTGATGGCATCATCGGTTCTGCGGCCAAAGAAGACAGGTGTGGTGTCTGCAGCGGGGATGGCAAGACCTGCCGTGTGGTGAAGGGTGATTTCAGCCACTCCCGGGGTACAGGTGAGTGCTGGGCCTAAGCTAATATATGCTATCTACTTAATCGTGTTTGCCCCAGTGCTAGTGGTTGCATGACGTTTTGTATGTCACACTAAGACACCGAGCTTTCTTGAGCTTTCCATCCAGAAGTGGTTTGCTGATCTTCTGTCATAGAGGGTGTCAGCTGGCGATATTCAGTAGGGGTACTGAGAGCATCTATGGGAGAGAATGAGGAAGAATAGGCAGGCAAACGACCTACTGAGTGACCTCTCAAAGCCTTGATGAGAGTTCACTCACTAACGTCACCAAAAGTGATGCCATCAGGGGAACATGAACTGAGTAAATCTGAGCTGAAAAACAACTATTTTAATTCCTACAAGTTGCTTTGCATAGAAACATGTCAATTCAATTTGACCCAATGAGAGAACAGAACCATAGCTGTAAGTCCTTGTCTCACACAACAGCCCATAGGATAAGGCAAAGTTGGCACATGTCTTCCCTGAGTAGATAGACAGCTTGGTCTACAGGAACGTGCCATTTAGAAAGTATGAAAAGGACACACTATTCAGGGCCTTCCCTGAGATAACAATCCCAGAGATAACTGCAAATGAAAAATTAAAATTAAAAACAGAATGTCAGGGGCAAAGAGATGCTCAGGTGGTAAAGGCACTTGCTGCAAAGCTTCAACATGACCTGAGTTCAAACCCCAGAACCCACATGATGGAAACAGAGAACCAACTCCCACAAGGTAACATTTGACCTCTACATACACACTATGGCACATGTACATGAGCATACATGTGTATACCCACACACACACACACACACACACACACACACACACTAAATGAATGTTAGAATCTATGTATATCACATTGTTCCAGAGAGAAATGGAAGGAGCTACCACTGGAGTGAGTTCATCCGGGGAGGCTGTGCCCTCTGGAACTGAATTGTCCAGTACAACATGCGCTGGACACTCAAGTCTTCCCAAATTTAAAACATAATTGGCTGAAATTAAACCAACTTAAAAATTATGGCCACATTGCAGGTTCCCAGCTGCCAGCAGGGATGGTGGGTCTTAATCAGACAGTTGAAGAACATCTTTGTTGTCATAGAAAGTCTCCACAGATGGCACAGCTGTAAAACTTAGCTAATCTCTTCTGTTTGCTTCCATGTGTCTCTGGCCACCCTGGATTTGCCTTGTGTAATTATTGCAGATGCGAATAAAATCCCCACAGTTGGCAAGAGGTTACTATTTAGTGTTGATTTCTTTGGGTAAATACAAGCATTAGAAGCCATATTTGGAATCATCAAGATGGCTCTTCAGGTAAAGGTACTTGCTGCCAACCCTGATGGCAAGAATTCAACCCCACAAAGGGGAAGGAGAGAACTGACTCCTAAAAGTTGTCCTCTGACCTCCACCTGAGCACTATAACGAGTAGGGCTCACTCATGCATACAAGCGTGTGCATGTGCACACAGACACACACACACACACACACACACACACACACACACAATAACAACGACAACAATAATAAAGAGAAGCCTCGTTTAAATAGAAGGTTATGTTATCCTTTATTAATCAGAACTGAGTGAAGGTCTGTCTTTCTGCATTAGATGGGTTGAGCACAGCCACACCCACCCCTCCCCATTGTTTGGTTCAGTAGAACACTAAAGAAGGTTCTATCACAACCTTTGAGATCCCCTACCATGTGGGACATAGCAGCTCACATGTCAGACAGTCCAGGTTAGGACAAAACTTTCATTTTGGCTTAGGAAGATGCTTCCTCCTCCCACGGTAGTACTTCCTCCCCTCCTCCCTTCTCTATCTACCCAGTGCTGGGCTCCATCTGTATGTTCCCCCACCCCGGGGGAGTGTGAGCTTCTGTGGCTGTGGAAGTAAGTCTCCCAAGGAAAGAAAATCACATTGGGAGCTTCTTTGGGGACCAGGACTTTTAGCTTAATATGCTTAGTTCTGGCTGCTAGAGTGTAGATCCTTCCCGCCCTCCTCCCTGCCCCCAACAAACCTTCGGAGGAAGGCAAGCAAGCATTAGCTTCATCTGCCTGTGACCTTGTCACTTCTGAGCAGCTGGCTGCCAATGGCATGCTTTAATTTTAAAGCACAAGGCAGGAGGGGTTTTGTCTTGTTTTGATGTTTAAATCTTTACCTCTAGAGTCTGTGAGCGTGAGATCATATCAGTGTGGATTTGGTTTATTAACAATATGTGTGTAATGTTAATTATTGACTGCTTAGGATTTGATGTTCTAGACCTGCATAAACATAGTATACTGACAATGGGTCAACTGCACACTAACCCCCACCCAGGGAACATTTATTTGCATGTATAGATTTCAATATCCGACATACAGACATCGAAGTTAGCAGTCACCACGTTGGTAACAGCAGAGGTGGGGCACCATGCCAGGGCCTGCATATAGGTCAGTTATAAAAGCTGGTTTAAAAAGTAAATAGCCGCCAGAGTAAAGACACTTCTGACTGAAGGTGAATCCATATATTTGAATGAAACTCAGCAGAGAATTTCTGTGTAGGTCCCAGGTCATGTGACCCCAGTCAAGTGGATTTGCTTATCTTGTTGGTACAGATAGGAAGGTAACTTTCATCTGTGCCCAGCTCTGAGGAAAGATGATGGAAGGAATGTCTTATCATCCTTCAGGGTGAATATCAAAGAGAAACACCATACAGAGAGATAAACCAACGTCAAATGCAGGAATTTTGCCAGGTCCTGCATGAAGGCCTGACCCCAGCCTGAACTCTCCCAGGTTTGCTTACAAAGGCCCCTGAGTGGAGAGTCCAGGGTAGGTACACACAGTGCCCTAGATAAGCAAGAAACCTATGCTGGAAGACCTCAGTACGGCTTCCTAAGTGTAGAATGTCCTGAGCAGACAAGGGCTTTTAGCTGTTCATTGGTAGAAGAAACCAGCTCAAACTGACCTTCTAATGGATGGGCTTCCAAATTCTCAAGCCTTCAACCAGACTGAAGTAGCTAGGTTATTTGAATTTAGTGGGTTGAAATTTTCTGCTGTGAGGCTTTTCCTTCACGCGTGAACTTGTCATTTTAATGTTGTCATCTTTATTCCATCCTGCTCTTTGGAACTGAAAAGGTGACTGGTTCCCATGGACATCCAGTATGCAGCCAGCCCAAAGTTCCCACCAAGGCCCAACCAGGATGCCTGATGGGTTCTGAATCCCTTTGCACTTTGTTCTTAAAGAGACAGTAGGTTCCTATCAGAGGCTGACATATGGTCTTTCTTTTTCAAAATGGATAGATGCACATTGTGGTGTGTCTTCAACAATTAGCATCTGGGCCACATCCTGAGCTCTATTCTCCATCTCTAGGTGTGGGGAATGTCTGTTCCATGGGAAAGTTCATGGTTATATGATGGTACTAAAGCTTAGTTCTACTGTGATGAAGAAGAACTAAAATGTGCACAAACCAACTGCAACCTTTTTCTTTTTCTCAGTCAAGAATAATCTTTGTATGAAGGTGTCCACATGTGTGATGGCAAAGGCGATTCCCAAGTGTTTCTCATGTAAGATATTTGACTATATGGCATGGCCCTGAAGGTGACATGCTTGGTGTGGGGCTCTAGCTTACATGCTTGAGTGTTTTCTGAATAGAATTAGTGGGAATGAGTCATGAATGAAGCCATGGGTAAAACAAAGGCCAATGACCACTTATATAGGACACATACAGACCAATTGCCAACAATGAAAAACTAAATTAAAACCAATATTAAAGACAAAAGAACCATGAATTGAGAGGCTAAAAAAAATATCATTTAGGGTCCCACAGGTATTCTTATCAATCACATTTGGTACTTTAGCAAAAAAAAAAAAAAAAAAAAAAAAAAAAAAAAAAAAAAAAAAGCTAAGACAAGGAAGCTAGTCTTGCCTCCCTCTTAGGGAAGTTTCCAAATCTCCCTATCACTGGACTGGATTATCCTGTTGGCAGAGGGGATCTTGATGCCTTCCTGGTGGAGATGAAGGCAGTGGCCTTGATCTGACCTGACTATACTGACCACATATTCCAAGGGTCAAGTAAAGCATGGATTAGGTTCATGGGCTTCTTGAGTGCAATGAGGTCGTCCCAGCTATAATCAAGAACCACCTTGACAAACACAGATGGTCCCCAACTCACAATATTTCACACCACAGTTTATCAGCTTCATAGCCCTGAGGAAGCCATCCATTTTCAATAGGACCTGGACTTTGAATTTTGGATCTCATTCTGTTCCAGGCTTGCAGTTTGCAGTATAATCCTCTCCCATGATGCTGTGGCAGCCAGTCACTGTTCCTACAAGATCACACTTGCACGCACTTTTGACTTTAAGATATTCTCAACTCACAATGGGTGCTTCAGGATGTGACCCAATTATACACTGACAAGTCTGAATTCTCATAAACAATTTTTGTCAATCGAGAAAAGCAAAAACTTAGCAAAAATCCTTTCTGGACATCCTATGCTTTGTTTAACAAAATAAAATCTCTTTGTTTCCCCATTCATTTGATACAACACAAAAAAAAGAATGTCAGAACATCATCAGGATTAGACTTCTATTCTAACATCTCGTGATGTTTTTCCTCGGTATTTAGTCAATACTGCTTAACAATAAAACTATAGACCCAAATCTTCTAGAAGAAAATCTCCTTGGAAAGTTCAGGTAAATGTAATTGCACAGGGGGAAAAAGCCCATAACCTGACAATATTAACTGGTAGAATCAAGACAGACTTGAGGTCACTATTCCTAGGACAGTTGCTTTTGGCAAAAATTGTATGTGTCCTAGAACGATGGCAAGGGCTTGATCCCCCCCCCCATGGCTTCTTCACAAAACCAAATTGTTTCGCTCTTGCTTGGTGACTGAAACTATAATGGGAAATTACTCCAATGTGAAGCCTTGCTCCTTAGTCTAAAATGTGAATCAACCTTCTGTATTCTCAGCATGACTTTCTACTTCTGTTACATTCCATGTGAAAATCTGTGACCAAGTCATGGGACATC